GACTTTCTTTCTTTTGGGTATATACCTAGGAGTGGGATTGCTGGATCATATGGGAGTTCTATTTTTAGTTTTTTTAGGAATCTGCAAACTGTACTATAGTGGCTGTACTAATTTCCATTCCCACCAACAGTGTGTAAGAGTTTTCTCTCTCCACATCCTCACCAGCATTTGTTACTGTCTGACTCTTGGATAAAATCCATTTGAACTAGGGTAAGATGATATCTCGTTGTAGTTTTGATTTGCATTTCTCTGATGATCAGTGATGCTGAGCACCTTTTCATATGCCTGTTTGCCATGTGTATGTCTTCTTTTGAGAAATGTCTATTCAGATCTTTCGCCCATTTTTAAATAGGATTATTAGATTTTTTTAGAGAGTTGTTTGAGCTCTTTATATATTCTGGTTATTAATTCCTTGTCAGATGGGTAGTTTGCAAATATTTTCTCCCATTCTGTGGGTTGTCTCTTCACTTCATTGATTGTTCCTTTGCTGTGCAGGAGATTTTTAATTTGATGTGATCCCATTTGTCCATTTTTGCTTTGGTTGCCTGTGTTTCTGGGGTATTACTCCAGAAATCTTTGCCTAGTCCAATGTCCTAGAGAGTTTCCTCGGTGTTTTCTTTTAATAGTTTCGTAGTTTCAGGTCTTAGATTTAAGTCCTAATCCGTTTTGATTTGTTTTTTTATGGTGAGAGATAGAAGTCTATTCCTTTTGCATAGGGATATCCAGTTTTCCCAATACCTTTTGTGGAAGAGATTGTCTTTTCCCCAAGGTATGTGTCACCTTTGACAAAAGCGAGCTCATTGTAGATGCAGGGATTTATCTCTGGGGTCTCTATTCTGTTTCACTGATACATATGTCTGTTTTCATGTCAGTACCATGCCATTTTGGTTACTATAGCTCTGTAGTATTACTTAAAGTCCAGTCCTGGCATGGAGGCTCACACCTGTAATCCCAGCACTTTGGGAGGCCAAGATGAGCAGATCACTTGAGTCCAGGAGTTAGAGACCTTATATCACCCAGGGTGTTGCTCCTGTCACAAAAGGGTTCTCAGGACCACAGTGACAGCTCCACCACGCCTGTGAGAAAGAACAAAGGTGCAGGCAAAAAACCGACCAAGACTGTAAACTCAAATAACTAATATTTCTATTAGGTTAAACGAGATGAAAGTGTAGTTTTATGTCAACTATCATCATTTCTATATGGTTTAACGTGTGTGTGTGTGTGTG